GTGGTGGATGTGCATGTGAGTACGCATCTGTGTACGTGCAGAGAGAATCCACAGCCACACCCACCAAATAGGTTTTTCCATATCTCAGTTGATAATCAAGTCGATTGAACCCGTTGGTTTATTGAAAATGGGTGTCTTCACAAGGTTTCATGTATTTAATATTTTTTCTAGAACACTTGTAGTGGTAGTGTAATATCTACGTTGCATTAGAGGCTGAAAAATTAGATCCATATAAGCGTGTGGGTTTCAGTCTGAAGAGAGAAGAAAGGGTGTGGGTGTGGGTGAGTGTGGGTGTGGGTGTGGGTGTGGGTGTGTGGGTGTGGGTGGGTATGGATGTGAGTGTGGCTGCGGGTGTCGGGTGTTGGTGCGGGTGGATCTGGGTGTGGCTGTGGGTGTGGGGTGTTGGTGCGCGTGGGTGTGGGTGGTGGATGTGCATGTGAGTACGCATCTGTGTACGTGCAGAGAGAATCCACAGCCACACCCACCAAATAGGTTTTTCCATATCTCAGTTGATAATCAAGTCGATTGAACCCGTTGGTTTATTGAAAATGAGTGTCTTCACAAGGTTTCATGTATTTAATATTTTTTCTACAACACTTGTAGTAGTAATGTAATGTCTACGTTGCATTAGAGGCTGAATAATTAAATCCATATAAGTGTGTGGGTTTCAGTATGAAGACAAAAGAAAGCAACGTTTACACTTACATCAATCCCGATAACTAACTCAGATGGTAACCAATTGATTTCGTGATAAACTAATTACTTGTGAGAAAATTTTATGTATATGAACCAAGCATCATTGATCTAGACTCATTCTTTGATTATCAATTTATTCAGCGATGTTGAAATCGGCGAAAAATACCGTCATGAAAAACAAAAATTCCGCGAAAAGAAATATTGTCTTTGTGTTAGCAGTTGAGTTTATTTATTTATCTGAGGTTTGTTTTGTACTCCATTCACAGACATTTTTTTCTTTTTTGAATTTTAGCTTACTTTAATATTGCTTTAACCTTGCTTTCTAACAAGATTATGTAAACATGAAAATTTTTTTTTTTACTTCGAAAGTTTAGCAGAATAAATAGATGCTGCATTGATTTATTTATAGTGAATAATTTGCCTCGGACTTGAAAGATTTCTGTGTAAACACACCCCGCATAAATTGGTTTGATGCCGTAGCTATATGTAAAATGCGTATGGATACTCATCTGTCTGCATGCTATAAAGAAAGCCAAATTTTTCTTGGCACTGTTTTCATTCTTCATTTTTATTGAACTGTTTGAATTTTTTTCATAAAGGTTATATTGTTCGCAGATTAATATGGTTAGGGATCTGGACATGAAGAATAGTCACGCAACATTCTTTGCAAACAAAAATTTTTTATCCCTTGTTGTTGATCATGGCAAACTTATACTCAGAAGAGCATTCCGTGCATGATTATTAGTTATCTTACTTACAACATAAGAAACTATCAGCATTGTAAATAATGCAGTGTGCAACCATGAAAATATTTGGTTAGGTAATAATAAGTACCTTTTTTATTAATTAATTTTTAGATAGTATTGCTGAAACGGTTGTTTTCGTCAATATTTACATATATTATTTCAAGTAAACAATGTCGAATAATTCATGTTGGCCAAGTTCTCAAGGCTGGAAACGTTATTGGCCGACGGGTATCGTTGCTGTAATTGGAGTCGTTCAAACATTGTTTTCGTTCGCTGCTGTCACACTTCATGTTGCCATTGTTTTAATTGGTATAGCTAGTCTTTGCAGTAATTATCAAGCATGGTATGTTATGGGCTTTGTTTGCTGGGCCTTTTTTTTTGACAAGCTGGATATCGGTCTTCTGCGTCAGTGAGTATTTTAATTCTTATTCTAATAATTAGACTGACAGATTTATTGAAGTAATTCTGTACATTCAACAATGTGAGTAAAGAGGATGATACACCAAAACAAGTTCAATTCATAATAGTTTAATATACAGGTTTCCATATTCTGAGAATCTCTAAAGTAGGAATTATTGATAAAAACGTTAGAATTTAGACGTAAGTTGAAACATTCTTAAATGAATTCAGGCGCAAAGCCGAAAAGATAGTCTACACAAAGCGGAAGCATATTTAAGTTTAATACTGTAAAGCATTCTCTTACAAGTGTTTATTTTTTTATCGAGACACACAAATTAAAAGACATAAAGAGCTGTACTTGATAAATAAATCAATGTTATTATTGATTCAACGTTATTTCTAGATTTTAGTTTTAATACCAATCGTCATAATAAGAGAGCTTTCCTTAGATGAAGAAAAAAATTATCAGAATCGAAAAACATACTCAATCAAATATTTCGGCAATCATTGACAAATATTCTTGTATTTGTCGTAGATATTCAATTCAGAGCGTTTTTCTTTCCGAAAACTATCAAATTCGCGGTTAATTTTAGTGTGAAATAGAATTTTTAATTTTTGAATTCGCCTTCTTGACTGATCTATAACATGATTTAGGCGTTTTAATCTGTCTTAATTTGTTTTCTTTATTTATTTAAAATTTATTCTTTATTTAGCTTGTTGTAATCGATCATCTGTTAGGTGCGCAACACATACGATGATAGAAAATATTCTTGCATCTATCTTTTCAGCTGTACTCATTGATTTTGATCGTAAACTTAAGGATGGCCAATTAATCCCCGATTCAACATCGTGCTCCAGCTCCTCATCACACAATGTCCAAAATACGAGTGACACCGAGTTAACGAATGTCTTCCTCTCATTAACGAAAGCACAATTAGCTTGTGGGGTTGTCATTCTGATATCAGCTCTTGTTTTCATTGGTATCTATATATATATGTATACATCAGAGCAGTGAATGACGATAGAAACATGTCCCATAATTCGCATTATACGAATCATGTCCAAAGGGGTCAGTCACGACAATCAGAATATGTATTGAGAGATCCACAAGGGGTACATGAGCTACCGCCAACAAAAAAAAACCACTCACACTCAACCGATTTTCCAATGAAACCAGTGCGTTCTGGTAATGGCTCAATGATTGTTGTTTGCCATCAATGTGGAGCAAAAGTGGAAGTATCCGAACGATTTTGAAAGAACTGATCGAAATTATTTGCAGTGATCGTTCTGTATACTTTATTTTTGATGATTTCTCATATATTCATGAAAATTTGTTTATCTTTTACTAGCTTATTGTCGAATTTACAGCGCCTAGATATAGAGAAAGATTTTAAATAAATGATTTTAAAAATAATTAATTCAACAAGTTAAAGCAACGCAAACGTCGCTGACTCTCTACTGAAAGAATGTGATGCTGCAGAGGTTGGGACATTTGAGCAGGGAAATACAATAACTATTGTGTTAATACACATACAGGGTGAGGACTATTCAAAAAAGCTTCCCATGTCCTCAAAATCGACGATTTTATCGCGATAATCGCCCGATTAATCGTGAGATTATATCGCGATATATCGTCAAAACTGACGATATTTTTGCACTTTTGTCAACAAAATCAACATTCATAAAAAACAACAGGACTTTCATGAAAATTTAAGTGAAAATCGACGATTTTATCGCGATTTAATCTCACGATTAATCGGGTTAGTAAGTCGCCATAAAAATCGCTGAAATTTGCGATTTTTAACGAGAAAATTGCGATTTTTGATGATTTTTCACGGGAAATCGCGATTTCTGTGCCATTTTGACAAAAATCTCCGATTAATCACCCGATTTAATCGGCGATTTCTCTCAGAATCGCGATTAATCATCCAAAGTGTGGCGATTTTGAGGACATG